CAGGCGGGGCGATCTGCTCGTTCCGCACTGCAGGCGGGGCGATCTGCTCGTTCCGCGATCTGCTGGCTCCGCCAGTGGTGGCGCGGCAGGTGCGACGTCGCACGGATCACGGTGACCAAGGCGACGCGGCACGAATACAGATGATGGCGGCGAAACGCGGCGGATCAAGCTTTTCCAGGTGCGATAGCCGCTCTGAATCTCTGTGACGATTCGCGCTGTCTCGTTGCGATAGCTTCAAGCTTTCAGCGTGCAACTTTTGGAGCTAGACGGTAGCTTCAGTGGTTGTCACGTACGGAATGACTCATGCTTTTGCTTCTGCGTGTGTATACGTGAATGGTTTGCTCAGGTAATCCCGTGGCTGTCGCCGACGGCATAGCTGGCGGAACTCTGCCAAAGTGCCGCAATGATTCATGCTCGCGGCGATTTGAGCGTTGCGCGCAGGTGGCGCGGAGAACGGCGCGTCGCGCGCTGGTGGCGCACCCTGCGCCTCCCCCTGCTTCCTTCCCCAGACGTTGCGCCTTGCGCTCAGGCATTTGGTATATCGATCATTGCACAACGCATTTTCTTTCCACCTTCAATTGTTTTGCAGCAAGAGGTCCAGAGTCGGTTTTTAAAAGCCAGGTAGGTTGGTGTTGTTGGCTGCCATGCTGTCCTTGCGCCCCCAAGCTCCGTGCCCCCCTTCCCCATCCCCCCCATCCCCCACCCCCCTCCAGTTGTACGAAGAATGTACCACCGTGTCGCCGCCACCCGCCTCTCAGCCAATCACGGATGGCCATGTGGCGGGGCAGCCGGGAAACGGCGCGGCGAGGAGAGAGGCACGAGGTGAGACCATGACGAGGTGCCACCTCCTGTACTCCCCTCTCCTCACCTCGTCTGTCCCCCGTACTCATCTCCTCTCCTCCTCTCTTCTCACCTCCTGTCCACCCCTCTTCTCACATCCCCCGTCCCCCGTACTCACCTCCTAAATGCGCTTGTGCCCTCGTTATTCCCTTCCCCCTGACCTCCTTAATCCCCCCTCGCCTCCTCTTCCCCCCCAATCACCTCCTCTCTCACCCTCCACCCTCCCACCCCATAGGCGGCTGAGGTCTGCCTGAGGGAGGCGAGGTCCGGATGAGGTCTGGATGAGGCTCGGAGAGACATGGCCAGTGCACAAGGTACGTTGCTTGCGTGGTGAGAGGGAGGTGAGGGAGATTGCTTCCGCACTCACCACCTCTGCTCCCCACACTCACCATCCCCCCCTTATCACCACTATTCACCTTCCCCCACTGCTCCCCTCCACTCACCTCTGCTCCCTTCCACTCACCTCCACTCACTCACATGCTCTGCTCCACTCACTCACTTGATCTGCTCCCCTCGCCCTCCCACTTGCTCTGCTCCCCACACTCACTCACGTGCTCTGCTCCCCTGACTCACTTGCTCTGGCCTGCCCCCCCCCCTCACTTGCTCTGATTCCCCTTCTGACATGCTCTGCTCCGCCCTCTCACTTGCTCTTCAGAAGCAGAGGGAGAGACAGAAACAGAGACGGATAGAGAGAAATATGTGAAAAAGAGAGAGATGGAGAGAAGAAACAGAAGCGTGGAGAGGAAGCGAGAGAAACAGAGAGCTCCCTCGTTGGCACCTCTGCTCTTTTCCACGCACCTCTGCTCCCCTACACTCACCTCTGCTGCACGTTAAACCTCTGCCATGATTTTAAAACCATCCGCCCTGCCGTCACACCTGCCATCCTGCCATCCCTCCCCACCCCACCTTGCGCAGGCAGGTGGCGTTCTCTCCTTGCTGCGGGGCGCCGTGAAGAGACCTTCATCTTCTCACCCCGCCAAGACACGAGGCATATACATACAAGCAGGATACGTAGTAGGTTATGAACCTTGCTTGTACTTGTGTGCGTGTGTCGATATAAGAGTTGCGGGGTGGGTTTGGGCTAGGCACGGGGTGGGTATGGGCTAGCCGTGGCCTCTGCAAGCCTGGTTACTGTCCATGCCGCCCGCTCACTGTTCATGCAGCCCGGTCACTGTTCATGCAGCCCGGTCACTGTTCATGCCGCCCGATCACTGTTCATGCAGCCTGATCACTGTTCATGCCCCCCGTTCACTGTTCATGCCGCCCGTTCACTGTTCATGCCGCCCTGGTCACTGTTCATGCCGCCCTGATCACTGTTCATGCCGCCCTGGTCACTGTTCATGCCGCCCTGGGCACTGTTCTTGCTGCCCGTTCTTTGCTCCTGCCGCCCGGTTACTGGTCCTGCCGCCCGTTCACTGCTCCTGCCGCCTGGTTACTGCTCCTGCCGCCCGGTTACTGTTCCAGCCATCTTGCGACAGAAAGAGAAACAGGAAAAGGAACAGGAACAGAGATGGAAGAAGACCAAGCATGTTGCTGTGTGGCCACGCCATGCCAGGGATAGGGGGGGGACTGTGCCATGCCATGCCATGCCAGGGATAGGGGGGGGCAGTTTAGGGGGCTGTGAGGGGCTGTGAGGGGCTGTGAGGAGGATTGGGGGGTAGGGGGGCCTTAGGGGGGCCTTGGGGGGGGCCGTGGGGGGGTTTTTTCCATTACTCGTTATTATCCCCCCATGTTTTTTTCACATCCCCCTTGCTTTTGTACCATCCTGCTCCTCATCCTGCTACTGTTCTTTTTAATTAATTTCCTATCTGATCTTGTACCATCATCCTCCTCATCCGTGTATAACAAATACGTCTTCAACACCAATGTGTGCTACAGACACGAACGTCAAACTTTGGAACTCGAGCTCACAGCAAGGGGACTAAATAAACACCTTCACACCTACTGAGCACATCTCAAGTCCCGCAGGTAACCGAGTATACGCAGCAATACATGACAAAAAAAGGGTCAACTCAGTGACTAGAACTTTGACCACATTCATGGACCACTACCACTGTTGTGATTACCACTCAGGGGAATGACTCATCACCCCATCATATACCCCTATCGGTTACCACTCAAGAGGCCTGAAAGTGACGGCACCTGCTGCTGCTGCATCTGCTCTTGCATCTGCTTCATTTCCTCTGGGTCTGATAGGGAGAGAGAGAGAGAGACAAGTAAGAAGGAAGAAATGAGGATGGGAAGGATGACGATGATGATGAGAGATGAGCTTAAGGGGTGTTATGAATGATTATGCACGAATTTGGTATGCTAGAACCGAGTACGAATCATATCAGCCCACTTATGGAGTCAGCAAGGCGGGGGGGGGGTCACCATGACGACGAGAGAGGAGCTAGAGGTGTGGTAAGAATGAGTAGATTGAGGATGGTAGGACGAGGATTTCAATATGGGGTCAGCGAGGCAGAGCAGGATGACCATGAGGATGAGAGATTACCTTTAACGCATGACCCATCCACGCAATAGCCCACTCATTTGTGCATCACCCACTCAGTCACTCACCTATGGAGTCAGCGAGGCGGGGCAGGACGACCATGACGACGAGCGATGAGCTTAAGGTGTGGTACGAATGGGTATGCCAGAGGTGAGCATGCTAGAAACGCATACGCCAGTGCCAGAGAGGAACCCACCTATGGAGTCGGCGAGGCAGGGCAGGACGACCATAACGACGAGAGATTACCTCTAAGGTTATGTTCCACCCACCCATCCGATAGCATTTTACACCTTGTGTATGACCCAGCCACCTATGGGTATGCGAGAAACGCGTATGCCAGTGCCAGAGAGTAACCCACCTATGGAGTCGGCAAGGCGAGGCAGGACGACCATGACGACAAGCATGAAGCATATCATGATGCCCATGGGGCTCTTCACTATCGTCCATATGCTGAACGGCTGGCGCCTCTGAGAGCATGGTGGTAAGGCAGGCGGGAAGCATGGTGGCAAGGGGTACAGGAAAGGCAGGGGGTGAGTGAAGCACGAAGCATATCATGATGCCCATGGGGCTCTTCACTATCGTCCATATGCTGAACGGCTCGCGCCTCTGCATGTGGGGGCAAGTGGGGAATGAGGTTAGCAGCATGAATGCACGCATGAGGGTTGATGAATGGCGTGAGATGATCATGATGCCCATGGGGGCTCCGCACCCCCGTCCATATGCTGAATGGCCCACGCCTCTGCAGGAGGGGGTGAATGGACAGGCATGAAGGGCCCTGCTTGCTCACACCTTGCTGTCGTCGCCGCGCCACGCCATGCCTCAAATGCTTGCCTGGCTGTCTCGCCATTATTGTGCTAGACAATATTCAAGTTCCAACCAGCGTCACCTCAAAAGCTTCCTGAGCTGCGAAGGGCGAGATGATGAGGGGATTAATGGAAAGACCTGCAGGGCCCTGCTCTCAGCCCACCACCTGTGCCTTGAATGCGGGGACAGGCTAGGAGGCCCCTGGTTACTATTTACGAAAATCACAATCGCCCTCTTCACCACTACCTTTCATCCTCACCTCGAAATACTCCTCAGCTGCGAAGGGTGAGATGATGAGTGGATCGATGGAGAGGCTTGCAGGGCCCTGCTCTCGGATCACCATTGCGCGGAAGTTTCCTGCATGCTTCGCACTGACTTGCAGCGTGACCTGCCCAGGAAGAGACAATGGCAAGGGAAGGAACGCCACGGCAGGTGAGCCCTTGTGTCACGACAGGTGAGCCCTTGTGTCACGACAGGTGAGCCCTTGTGTCACGACAGATGAGCCCTTGTGTCACGGCAGGTGAACCCTTGTGTCACGACAGGTGAACCCTTGTGTCACGACAGGTGAGCCCTTGTGTCAGGACGACCCGGGACCTGGTTGCGTGCAGGAGGACAGTGGATGAGGTTGGGCTTACCAGCAGGAAATACGCCCTTGGAGCGTGTGCGAGCCAGCAGGTAGGGTGGTCGGGATGGATGGATGGATGGTTTGGGCTTACCGGCAGCAGGAAGAACCCCCTGGGAGCAGAGACTTTCAGCGTGTGCGTGGCGGGAGAGCGAGCACTGGGGACGGATGGAATGGGGTGGAGGACAGGACAGGACGAACGAAACAGGGCCTGGTAGCATGCAACGCATGATTTGGGCTTACCGGCAGGAAGAACGCCCCTGGAGCAGCGACTTGCAGCGTGTGCGAGCCGGGAGCGAGAGCGCTGAGGAGTGAGGTGTGGGGAGGGAGGGAGAGAGGGAAGGAGGGAGGGAGGGAGGGAGGGAGGGAGGGAAGGAGGGAGGGAGGGAGGGAGGGAGGGAGGGAGGGAGGGAGGGAGGGAGGGAGGGAGGGAGGGAGGGAGGGAGTGAGGGAGGGAGGGAGGGAGGGAGGGGACGGTTAAGGGTAATGCAGTGAGGGAAACATGTGCGTGGGAAACACGGTCAAGGACATTATGATAAGGCACCTGCGCTGTGTGCGTGCCCGAAGGCAGAGCGCTGGGGAGGGGCGTGTGGGAAAAGAATGGGGGAGGGAGGGGAGGAGGGGAGGGAGAGGAGAGAAGCGTACATAGAGAAACTCGTTTGTGAAAAAAACTTAAATAATTTTGACAGGCCACTTGCAGTGTGTGCATGGAAGGAGGCAAGGAGGTGAGGAAAGGCGTGTGAGGAGGAAGGGAGGGAGGGAAGGCGAGAGGACAGAGACGGAGGGTAACTGGCGTGTGAGTGAGTTTATAGACAGTGCGGTGGGTAACGGAGGGCTGGAGGGGGGTGGGGGTAAAATACGGGGACTACAGGGTAGGGGAGGAAGCAAGTGAGATGACTCAAAAGGGATTGAGCCAGAAGGGAAGTCGACTCAAGGGGAACAGCCACTTGCAGCGTGTGAGTGCGCGGAGGCAGGGTGGCGGTGGGGAATGGTGTGTTGGGAGGGACGGAGGCAGATAACGAGGATTACAGGGGAAGGGAGGGGGGGAAGCAAGTGAGTGAGACGAGTCAAAGGGAATGCAGGGAGCAGTCACTTGCATCGTGTGAGTGCGAAGAAACAGGGCGGCGGCGGGGAATGGTGTGTTGGGAGAGGGGCATATGGGGCCGGCACTTTCTCAGTGAACTCCATAGGAGCGCCAAGGGAAATCTCACGCAGACACTGTTGGATGTGATGGGAGTGTGGCTTGGACCTTCGAGGCACCTCAAAAGGCGGCGGTACTTTTTCAGTGAACTCCAAACGAGCTCCAGGAGAAATCTCACGCGGCCATGTGGGAGTGGCTTGGAGGAACGATGCTTGGTGAAATCTGAAGAGGGCGGCGCCATAGACTTTTGAGGCGCCTCAGAAGGCGCTATGGGATGTGGGAGTGGCTTGGGGGGCATTACGCCTGGTGGGATGCAAGGAGAGCGGCATTATGAAACAAGGGCGTATGGCGGTGGTACTTGCTCAGTGAACTCCAACGGACCAGTGGAAATCTCACGCAGGCATCATGCGATGTGCGATTTCCCTTTGGATTGAAGCTTGGAGGAACGACGCTTGGTGGAATGCGAGGAGGGCGGCATTATAGGAAGGCGGCTGTATAGGAGGGAAGCTATATTAGTGGGGGGAGGGGGGAGAAGAGGAGGGGGGTGGGAAGTGGGACAGAATAGGAGGATGGCGAAGAAAGGGAGGAGGAAAAGGGGAAGACGAGTCAATATGTTTGGGCTTATAGGGTCATGGACGCAGAAGGAAAGACGGGCGGGGAGGGCGAGGGTGGCGGGGGGGGGTGGACAGCGGGGAGGGCGGGGAATTCCTTGTATGGGGAACGGAGGGAGTGACGCGAATGATGGGAGCCTTACATGGAAAAGTAGCCGTTGGATCGCACAAACGCCACTGAATCCCCGCCGTTGATCAGGATCTTCAAAGCCGTCGATTTGATCTTCAGAGCTGAGGGAGAGATGAGAAAAGAACAGATTGCGCGAGAGGACGAAGAAGGAAAGGAGAATCACGGAACTTAGGACGGTGGAGCACCAAATGGCTATTAGGTCGGGGGCTGACTTAATAGTGTTCCGCATCATGCTTATAAACGGGACACGAAGAAAGTGAAGTGACATATTGTCCTACCGCCCAGTTGCACGTAACCGTCCACCACAGTGGAGCTCTCAACGGCTACTCGGACAATGATTTCCATATGATACTGTGTCGCATCATGCTAATGAAAGGGACACGAGGAAACAGAAATGGAGTGACCTACCGTCCAGTCGCACGTAGCCGTCCACCACGATGGAGCTCTTCTAGGGCGGTGGCTCACCTAATACTGTTCCGCATCATGCTAAAAATGGGGACGCGAGGAAAATGGAAGGGAAAACTGAATACCTACCGTCCAGCCGCACGTAGCCGTCCACCACGGCGCCGCCATTCACGGCCAAGGCGCTCGCTGCTCGCGCCGATCCCGCTGCCGCCGCGATCAGACACGCGACCAGCATTGACGCCGCTACAGCTGGCATCGCGAGGCGGCAGGCGAGGCGGAAGGGGGACATTCTGCGGGAGGAAAGCGAAGAGAAGTCGATCTAGGGTAGGATGCTTGTAGGCGACTGGAGATCCGACGGTCAGCGCGGACTAGCCAGGATGGGATTGAGCGAGAAAAACGGTCGGGAGGAGGGCGGAGCGGAACCGACCCACCGTGTGGATTTACGCTAGATTGGTAGGAATTCACGCTGTTAGTAGCCAGGCATGAGATCTCAGCATCAATTAATCCGTCTTGCTGACGAGTCGAACAAGAGGATCTATTTCAAGTGATAAAGTGCAGTTGGGGTGACACCATTTATTAGTTTGCAATTCCAGTTTGTTTGCGGTTGATTCATCTCTCAGCACGGTACAGCGCGGTGGAATCTCCAGATTTCTCAACAAAACCACGAACTGCAGAAGCGCAAAGCCGAAAACAATCGCAAATGCAGGACGACGGACCATATCACTTTCGTAACTGCTTACGGATGCCGAATCGACGAATTCACGACGGAAAATTCGTTCAGCGACGGTCATGTACATATTCCAGTAACCCGATTTTGGTCCGCAGCCAGACAACTAGCAAACATTGCCTCAACCGCTAGCAACAAACTCAGATTAATCTCCCAGGAGTCACTACCGTGCGATTCGTCAGAAACGAGCGCGATCAGGCAGAAATTTCTCAAAAAACAGAAGCGTGAATTTCACGTGGCTGGAGATTTCCGACCCACCATTTCTGAAGCTTGGTAGAGTGCTGCTTAGTATCAAGGGAAATCCGGCTGTCTTGATAGTAGTAGCCTACTAGAAGAATATCAGGTTGTGTTGCTCCGTCGCTAGTGGCAGTAGATTAGTCTAGGCTTTCGCCTTTTGCGTTCCAGCGTCGATTTCCTTCCGAGAGTCGCACCGCCACGCGCGCTTTTGAGTCGACTCAAAAGCAAAGTTGCACCGCCACCCGCGCGGCGCACCGCCAGTCGCACAGCGCAGGGCGCGGCAAGGAGGGGGGAGAAAGAGTAGCGGGAAAAGTGGTGAGAGAAGAATGAGGCGAGTAGGAGTGCGAGGGGTTGGAGAAAAGAGGAGGAATGAGGGTAGGAGGGAAGGAGAGAAAGTACGAACGATGCAAGTACCATTGCTATTTAGTGTTATCAAGCACCTGAGTTTTTCATGCGAGATAAGCATCTTGCTGCTTGTTTCTTCGCCCTTGTTTTTTCGCCCTTCTCCTATGCTCACATTCAGATTCACAGAGTTATACATTCTGTCGTCCTCTCTGTTCTGCACTTCTTTCTGTTGTGCATGCATCATTCGTTTCTTGCATGCTTGCGCTGATTAAATGCCATTCTGCTGCCCATCCATCCATCCATCCATCCATCCATCCATCCATCCATCCATCCATCCATCCATCCATCCATCCATCCATCCATCCATCCATCCATCCATCCATCCATCCATCCATCCATCCATCCATCCATCCATCCATCCATCCATCCATCCATCCATCCATCCATCCATCCATCCATCCATCCATCCATCCATCCATCCATCCATCCATCCATCCATCCATCCATCCATCCATCCATCCATCCATCCATCCATCCATCCATCCATCCATCCATCCATCCATCCATCCATCCATCCATCCATCCATCCATCCATCCATCCATCCATCCATCGATCCATCGATCCATCGATCCATCGATCCATCGATCCGTCCGTCCGTCCGTCCGTCCGTCCGTCCGTCCGTCCGTCCGTCCGTCCGTCCGTCCGTCCGTCCGTCCGTCCGTCCGTCCGTCCGTCCGTCCGTCCGTCCATCCATCCATCCATCCATCCATCCATCCATCCATCCATCCATCCATCCACCCACCCACCCATCCATCAATTCTCTTCACTCATTCCCATCGCATCAGCACGCAACCAGCAACCTGCGAGCCACCCTACAACGCTCTAAACGCACCTTACACTGCACCGCTGCCTGCACCATCAGTCAGCCCCATGGCGCCAGTCACATCCGCAAGCACGCAGCCCTGGGTGGAGAAGTAGTGAGCACCGCGCCAGTGGGGTGTTGGTGGTGTGGGTTGGTTGCAGGTTTTAGGTTTGCGTGAGTTGCGTGTGCAGGGTATTTTCTAGATTTCTGTACAAATAGTCCGTAGATAATAAGCCATGGTGATGGTGCCAGTCGGGGCCGCCAGCACCCAGCCGTGGGTGGAGAGAGCAGTGCGCGCAGGTGTGGGTGTGGGTGTGGGTGTGCTGGGGGTGCATGGGGGCTGCAGGAGTGAGGGTTGAGGGTGTGGGGTTGGATGTGTGGAGGCTGCAACTTTTACCAGACAGCATTCTGCACTTTGTGTTAAGGGTTTACGAGGTGACTCCATTTTTCTCTCACTTTGTCTCTGCCGTATCTGCCCCTTTGCTTGACCCACTCCTTGTGGGTGTGTTCTCTCCTTCTCTTCCTCATCCCGCAACTTGTGCTCTTTTGTTTAGCCAACTGGAATTGAACCTGCCTTGCATACTCTGTGACTGCCTCGCTGCCTTGTTGCTCCTTGCAAGGGCATCAGTCCGCTGAGCTGACACATCAATGGAAGGCGACTCATTGCTCTGATCCTCTTGTTTATTTCCCCCCTCCAGTCGCCCAAAGCAGGTGTCTGACGTGGCACACCAGCAGGAGGTGGTGGCGACGCTCAAGAACACACTGGCCACTGGCAATGTGAGATGCGATGAGTGGGGGGGGGGGGGGTGGTTGGGGGGGGGGGGGGGGATAGAGCATGGGATGCTGTGGTACGCTCAAGAACACATTGGCGACCGGCAATGTGAGATGCGATAGCAGGGGAACAGAAGTGAGTGATACGTGAATGGGAGGAGTATGGCGTCAGCAGGTGTCTGACGTGGCACATCAGCAGGAGGTGGTGGCGACACTAAACAACACACTGGCCACTGGCAATGTGAGATGTGATGAGTGAAGGTGGAGGGGATTGAGTGAATGAGGGCGGGAGGAGGGGGAGTGTGGCTGAGCTGGCGACATTCAAGAACACACTGGCTACTGGCTGTGTGATATGCGATGAGAGCAGTTGGAGGGGGGTGCGTGAGTGAAGGGGGAGGGGGCACGTGGCTGGGGACCTGGGGTGGTGGCGAGGCGAGCACAAGAACATCTTGGCTAGTGGCGATGTGAGATCGGGAGATCGGGAGCCAAGATGTTCTTGTGTGAGATCGGGAGGAGTTGAGGGGCATGAGGAGGGAAATGGTGAGCGAATGATGACTGCTTGCGTGAGTGAGTGAGTGAGTGAGTGAGTGAGTGAGTGAGGGAGAGAGCAGGAGGAGAACACACTGGCTACTGGCAATTTGAATCTGGGAGGAGAAGGGATGAGATGATATGTGGGGAGAGGAGACGAGATGATATGAGGGATGCAGATGCGTGTGAACCCTCTTGATAATCCATTTCCCGACTCTCTCGCCTTCTCCAATTATTCCTTCCCTGTGCGTCTCCCCACTCTCCCCCCCCGCCCTCTCCCCCAGCTGCCCCATCTGCTCTTCTACGGTCCACCTGGCACAGGCAAGACGTCCACCGCGCTGGCCATCACCAAGGAGCTCTTTGGGTGAGTCATGAGCGAGTGGCTGGTTCTGTGTGAATGAGACATGGGCGTGTGAGTGGCTCTTGGCTTGACTGCTTGTGGGCCGGACTCTAGACAAGACACAGCCGTGTGTGTCAAACAGGCAAGACGTCCACAGCCCTGGCAATCTCCAAGGAGCTATTTGGGTGAGCCATGGGTGGTTCTGTTTGAACGATTCGTGGTTCTGTGTCAACGCCGGTACGGTGCCATGCCGTGTATTTCGGGGTTCGCAGCTTTGTGTGTTAAACAGGCAAGTCGTCCATTGCACTGGCAATCATCAAAGAGCGCATTGGGTGAGTCACGAGTGGTCTGGTTCGGCTTGTAGCCTTGTGAATGGTTTGTGGCAACCGTTTTCGGCTTGTAGCCTTGTGCATACCGACTGCTTTTGTTGCCCCATTTACCGCGCTCTTTTCTCAAAAAACAATCTCAGTCCTGAGCTCTACCCCTCGCGAGTACTGGAGCTGAATGCGAGTGACGACAGGGGCATCAGCGTGGTGTGGTGCGCACCAAGAGGAACCACCCATACCCCCTTCCACGTCTGTCTGTCTGTCTGCCCATTTCGTGTCATACCCATACTGCTGTGTGTGCCAAAACCACCTCTGCAGCCCTGAGCTCTAGCCCTCGTGAGTATTGGAGCGCGAGTGCTGACAGGGGCGTCAGTGTGGTGCGCACCAGTATCGAATCCAGACTCCATGTCTGTCCATCCCATACCCGTGCCCATTCTGTGTGTCTGCCCCTTACCACTCATCCTCTGCAGACCCGAGCTCTACCCCTCGCGGGTGTTGGAGCTGAACGCGAGTGACGACAGGGGCATCAGTGTGGTGCGCACCAAGATCAAGGACTTTGCTGGCGTGGCTGTGGGACATGGGGTCAGGTGAGCAGTCAGGGGGCAGATGACTGTTGTTGAATGAGGAGTGCTTGAGAGGTGCCAGAGAGAGGATAGAAGTGTGGTGCGCACCGAGATCAAGGACTTTGCTGGCGTTGCCGTGGGGCATGGGGTGAGGTGAGTTATGCTGAAAAGAATGCTTCGGGTACAAGAGAACGAGAGAGAAGGTATCATGTGTGGTGCGCACCGAGATCAAGGACTTTGCTGGCGTTGCCGTGGGGCATGGGGTCAGGTGAGCGGGCAGGTGAAGGGGCAGATTAATGGGCGGGTGAGGGAGCAGGTGAGCGGGCAGGCGAGAGGGCACGCGAGAGAGGTGTTGTAAAGACTCAAGATGCTCCTTGTTTCTATCGCCACTGCCATTTCCCCTGGTTATCACCCCCCTCCCGCCCCTTCTGTCACCTCCCCCCTTCCCACCTATTCCCCATTTCCTCCACAGCGGCTATCCCTGTCCACCATTCGAATGGATCATTCTCAATGAGGCCGACTTTTGAGTCGACTCAAAAGTCACCTCGTTACCATCCCTGTCCACCATTCGAATGGATCATTCTCAATGAGGCCGACTTTTGAGTCGACTCAAAAGTCACCTCGTTACCATCCCTGTCCACCATTCGAATGGATCATTCTCAATGAGGCCGACTTTTGAGTCGACTCAAAAGTCACCTCGTTACCATCCCTGTCCACCATTCGAATGGATCATTCTCAATGAGGCCGACTTTTGAGTCGACTCAAAAGTCACCTCGTTACCATCCCTGTCCACCATTCGAATGGATCATTCTCAATGAGGCCGACTTTTGAGTCGACTCAAAAGTCACCTCGTTACCATCCCTGTCCACCATTCGAATGGATCATTCTCAATGAGGCCGACTCAAGACAAAAGAGGCATGGTGCCCCAATGTGCTCCTGCTTTCTCTCGCAACTGCCTTTTCCCCTGCTTACCAAACCACCCCCCCTCCCTCACGCCCCTCCCCTCCGCCCTCCTCAGCGGCTACTCCTGTCCACCGTACAAGACGCTGGACGAGGCCGGCTGACGAATCCATCACTGAGCATGCTTGCTGCTGACCACACTCCACCTAGCTCTTCTCATGCGTACCACAACCTTGCCTCCCTCTTATCTTTCTTCCCAGTGGCTACCCCTGTCCACCATTCAAGGTGATCATTCTGGACGAATCTGACTCCATGACTGAGGATGCTTGTTGTTTTGCTTGTGGCTGACTGCACTCCACTCAACCCCTTCCTTGCCCACCGTATTCCCCTCACTTCACCCTTTACTCTCAGCGGCTACCCCTGCCCACCGTTCAAGGTGATCATTCTGGACGAGGCAGACTCCATGACTGAGGATGCGCAGGTGAGGCAGGGAGCAAGCGGAGGGAATGGGGGGAAGGGACGGGGGAATGGAGGGGTGGATGCGAGCAGGGGAGGAGAGGGGGAGGGGGGGGGGGGGGGGGGGGGGGTGGGGAACGGGGAATGGAGTGGGGAAAATGAGGGGGAGGGGGGAGGAGAAGAGGAGAGCAAGTGATGGTGCACAAGTGCTTGCCTGCATGTCATCTTTAGACAAAGCAGCCATTGAATAGTCAGTATTTTCTCCCGTCCCCTCCTCCCCTCTCTCTCCCTTACCCCCCCCCTCGTCTCCTCTCCCCTCCTCACCTCTCCGCCCCTCTCCTCACCTATTTTTTTCTTCCCCCCCTCTCCTCTCCTCTCTCCACATCTCCTCTCCTCTCCCCTCCTCTCCTCTCCTCTCCTCTCCTCTCCAGTCCTCACCTCTCCCCTCCCCTCCTCTCCCCTCCTCTCCTCTCCTCTCCTCTCCTCTCCTCTCCCCTCCCCTCCTCTCCGCTCCTCTCCTCTCCTCTCCTCTGATCTCCTCTCCTCCAATCAGAATGCACTTCGCCGGACGATGGAGCTGCACTCGCGCGTCACAAGATTTGTCTTCATCTGCAACTACATCAGCAGGTAACTTCTCTCGTCCCTAACGGGCAAAGAGCCGCTGGCCTCTTGCTGTGCCAAGTGCCAAATTCTTTGTGCTGTGCTGCCTTCTCACTCCCCTGAACCCATATCATCTCGCTGCGCCAAGTCTTGATTCCTTTGTGCTTTGCTTTGTGCTGTGCTGCCTTATCACTGTCTTGAACCCCTGTTATCCCCCCCCCTCCTCCTCCCACTGCACCCCCCCCCCCCCCCCCCGACACGCATCGGAATCATTGAGCAGCTGGCCTCTCGCTGCGCCAACTTCCGATTCCTTCGTGTTCTGCTGTGCTGTGCTGTGCTGTGCGTCCCTGTCTTCCCCGTGAACCCATATACCTCCCCTTGCCCATCAGAATCATCGAGCCGCTGGCCTCCCGATGTGCCAAGTTCCGGTTCCGACCGCTGGTGGGGCAGGTGATGACTGACAGGCTCAGACACATTGCAGACTGCGAGCATATCATGCTCTCCGACGAGGTAAGCTGCACTCAGTGATGGGATGTGAGCCGCTGGTGGGGCAAGTGATGACTGACAGGCTGAGACACATCGCAGACTGCGAACACCTAACGCTCTCAGAGGAGGTAGGTGCTTTGCATTCAGTGTGCAATGCTGCGTTCCTTTCGCATAGTTGCTGGTGGGGCAGGTGATGACTGATCGGCTGATACACATTGCGGACTGTGAACACCTCACGCACTCTGAGGAGGTAAGCTGCGCTCTGTGTTCGTGCATTGCTGGTACCTTGCACTTGAGGTGGGCTGCTGCTGGGGCAGGTGATATCTGACCGGCTGAGACAGCCAACAGCGAACACCTAACACTGTTAGAGGAGGTGAGGCGAGGTGGGCTGGGATGGGGTGAGGTTCTGGTGGGGCAGGTGATGATTGACAGGCCCTGCCACATCGCCGACTGTGAACACGTAACGCTTTCTGACGAGAGGGTGGGTTGCTGGTGGGGCAAGAGTGTGACTGACAGGCTCAGACGCACAGTGGAGTGCAAACATTGTGCTCCCATAAGATGTGGACTCTCAGATGAGCTAACTGCCTGCCAGGTGAGCTGTTGGGCTGCTGGGCTGCTGGGCTGCTGGGCTGCTGGGCTGGCACAAGAGGTAACTGAGAAACCAGACACAAGGTGAAATGGAATCATCACAGTCCCATTCAAGCTGGGCTCTCAATACAGCTGACTGCCTGCCTGCCAGGTGAACGTTGGTGGGATAAGAGGTTACTGGCAGGCTCAGAGCAGGGAGGAAAAAATAACAAAACACGTCAAGGGGAGCGTGAAGATAATGCCACGGTAGGGTGGAAGGGATGAGCAGTACGAATGTGAAATGCAAAAAACCAGCCTCAGCAGAGGATTGAACACTAGACCTTTCGCTTACGAAGCGAACGCACTACCACTGTGCTACTGGGACTGTGAATTTTGGATTGTATTAATCAGTTAACGGTAAATTACCAACACTTTTTCTTGCTGTGCCGCCCCTTGGTCTCATATGCTGCAGGCCTTTGAAGAGCTTAGCCAAGTGTCGGAGGGCGATCTGAGGCGAGCCATCACAACGCTGCAGGTATGTGTGTGTGTGGGTAGAGGAGGGATGGTGTGGTGTGTGGTGTGGTGTGTGGAGGGGGCGCAGCTCTAGGTGTCTAAAGCGCTTGGGCAAGTGGCAGAGGGCGATCAGATTCTCAGGCGAGGCATCATACCGCTGCAAGTATGTGTGGGTGGAGTGGAGGAGGGCCGGTGCAAGCAGCAAACGCACAAGCATCGAATTCGAATCTGATTAGGCAATATCTGTGGCAGGGACAGGAAGAAAAAAAATGAAATAACTCGCTGCTCTCTCTATTCTCAGCAGCAGCTGCCCCCCCTATTCTTCCCATTTCTCCGAACGTTCTCGTCCTCCCTGCCTCCAGATTGCTGGTAGGATGCACAGGTCACTAGTATCAATGGAATAGCTCTGCTTGTATAGCCTTTGACCATTCTAAAAATTGATGCAAGAAAGGTGCGCGTCCTCCCCCTCCTTGCGTCCAGAGTGCTCCCAGGCTGCACAGGTCGCTAATGTCAACGCAAAAGCTCTCCCCTCCGTTTCTTACCTTCCACTACTTCCTCCCACCCTCCTGCTGCCCTCCCGCTCGTGTCCCCTGTCTCTTATCCCTTATCCCATTTCCTGGTCGCTGGTATCAGCGCCATAACTCTCCCCTCCACTTCTTGCCTTCCGTTACTTCCTCCCATCCCATCCTCACCCTGTTCCCTGTCCCCTGACCCTTATCCCTTGCCTCCCTGCCTCCGTGCCTCCGTGCCTCCCTGCCCCTGTGGCCCTTGTTCCCTGTCCCTATCGTGTCCTGCTTGCAGCGTGCGGCCAGGCTGAACGGCTCGTCGATTTCAGCACAGCACATAATCACTAATATTGATCTGACCTTCCCTTATTCCCTGTCTCCTGTCTCCTCTGACCTGCCACCTCTCCCGTCCTCCCACCGTGCCTTGCTTGCAGAGTGCGGCCAGGCTGTACGGCTAATCAATCTCAGCACAACACATAATCCACCTGCCACATCATCACATAATCGTTCATGTCAATGTGACCTGCCCCTATCCCCTGTTCTCTGTCTGCTACCTCTTCTCTGTCCCCACCTTGCCATGATTACAGAGCGCTGCCAGGCTGTGCGGCTCATCCATCTCAGCGCAACACAAAATCGAGGTCCCCTGTCCTTTGTCCTCTGTCCCCTCCCCTGTTCCGTCCCCTGTCCCCTGTTCCCACCGTGCCTTGCTTGCAGAGTTCTGCCAGGCTATATGGCTCATCCATCTCAGCACAACACATCATCGAAGTGTCAGGGGTATGTAATAATAATAATAATAATAAAAAAAAAAATCGCTGTTGCTATGCATACGCGCCGAAATTCTTCCCTACCAGGGTAAAGTAGAATGTGGGAGCATTGTTGCTGGATATGTCGAGTAAACGGAAGTGGGTTGAAGAAAGGATAAGGAAACGATAAAATCGGGATCCAACCAGAATTGACAAATTTACACCCACACAGCAGATTGGAAACTTTATATTAAATATAGTACATGTTTGTTAACAGCCTCATTCCGCCAGTTAATAGCTGTCTCAGATGTCGCCTCCCCTTGATGAATCTGCCTTTTTTTGGCGTGTACTCTCCACACTTCCTTCCTTCCTCCCTTCCTCCTTTCTTTCCTCCCTTCCTCCCATGTGTCACCTTCCCTTTCACACTGCATTCTTCCTGCTGGTCTCCTCTCTCTCCCCATGCAAATCAGTTGTCACCCATTGCAAGTCATTTCCCTTGTCCCTGATTTTTTCCCATTCACCTACCATTTCTCCCTCCCCCTTTTCGTGCAGGTGGTACCTGCCTCAGTTGTCACCTCCATCCTCGCGGCCTGCAGGGGAGGTGCCTTCGAAGCTGTTCAGTCTGCCGTCACTGCTGCTGTTGCTGACGGCTACCCTGCTGCGCAAATACTCTCCCAGGTACCACAATCTCAAAGGTTACAAGGTTACCAGAATTTACATCTTCGCGTGTTACAAAATTACCACCAGTTTCTTTGCTGCCAGTCTGCCGTCACTGCTGCTGTTGCTGACCTGGCGGTTACCCTGCTGCAAGAATCCTCTCCTCTCCTGGTAATACAAAGACGCTCTCACTTCACATCTCACCTGCTCTGCAAAGACTGCTCTCACTTCACATCTCACCTGCTCTGCAAAGACTGCTCTCACTTGACATCTCACCTGCTCTGCAAAGACTGCTCTCACTTCACATCTCACCTGCTCTGCAAAGACTGCTCTCACTTCACATCTCACCTGCTCTGCAAAGACTGCTCTCACTTCACATCTCACCTGCTCTGCAAAGACTGCTCTCACTTCACAATTCCTCTTGTCTTCACTAGCCATGTCCCCCACTCGCCTCTCTGTTTCTCTCTCTCTTCCATGCAGCTGCCTCTGCATGCGGCGTCACCACCAACTGATCTATTAGGCGCCTCAACACTTGTCTCTATCTTCCATCCAGCTACCTCTGAATGCAGAACTCAAGGCTGGAATCCGTTTTTTTTATCATCTCAGTATCTTACCCTCCACCTTCCACTTTCCCTTGGCATACCAATTGGTCTTACTCCCCTTTCAGCTATTTGATGCAGCCACGGCAGCAGACGACCTCACAGACGAGCAGAAGGCCACACAAGTTGACCTCCTCCGTCTCTTCCTCTTTCTTGTGCCTATTGTTGCTGTCTCCCACCTCCCTCTCAGCTATTTGATGCAGCCACGGCAGCAGACGACCTCACAGACGAGCAGAAGGCGCGCATCTGTGCCACCATTGCTGCCGCTGACAAGGTAAGGTGTGCCTGGGGTCCTGTACGCCTTATAAGGTGTTTCATTTGTAGAAGGCGCGCATCTGTGCCACCATTGCTGCTGCTGACAAGGTAACTGTGCAGACGCCCCTGAAGCATTGTTGGTACGGTGACTTTCCTTGCGATGCATTTCGAGAAGGCGCGCATCTGTGCCACCATTGCCGCCGCCGACAACATAACTCAGTGCCAGGTGTGCCTGTGGGAATGTGTATGCCCTTTCAGGTGCTTCATTTGCAAAAGGCGCACATTCGTGCCACCATTGTTGCCGCTGACAAGGTAACTGCTGCACCCCTGGGAGTCGGGACCTTGTACTCCCTATAAGGTTTCTGCGTCCCTATATGAAAGTACCTTACAAGGTACTTCTTCAGCAGAAAACAAGAGTCTCTGCCACCATCCATCACCGCCGCTGACAGGGTAATTGCGGCCATGGGATAGCGTTAATATTGTGAGTTTGGGAATATGTATTCCTTACAAGGTGGTTCTGTGTTTGTAGGAGGCGTGCATGTGTGCCACCATTGCCACTGCTGACAAGTTCTGTCCCCCTGGGGTATTGTACACCCTATAAGCTGCTTCGTGCCTATATTAGAGTACCTTACAAGGTACTTCGTCTGTAGAAAACTGAACGGCATGTGTGCCACCATTGCCGCCCCGCCGCTGACAATGTAGTGCGTTGCGTGGGATCTTGTACGCCCTACAAGGTGCTTCATTTGCAAAAGGCGCGCATGTGTGCCACTATTGCCGCCGCTGACAATGTACTGCATGCCTGCGGCATCGTCTGTAGTGTGCCTGTGGGAATCTGTACGCCTTACAAGGTGCTGCGTGTGTAGAAGGCGCACATCTGTGCCACCATTGCAACCACTGACAAAGTACCTTGTGCCTGGGATATTGTACGCATTACAAGGCGCTTTTTTCTGGGATCGTTTACACCTTTTCAAGGTACACTTCCCCTGGGAAACTCTAGACTTCAAAAGTACTGCGTTTGGAATTTTTGCACACCTTACAAGGTACTGTGCCCCTTTACAATACACACCCATGGTCGTAATTTTTCCCTCTTCCTCGACTTCCTTCTTGTGTTTTCTGTTCTCTCCATGTCACGCCCTTGTCCCCCGGTCATGCTTGATTCTGAATCTGGGTGTTGGAGTGAAGTAGAGGAGTGGCTTCAGCTGCTGCATGTGGTCAGCCGCATTTTGAGGTGCCTCAAATTCTGAGTCAATTTTTGAGGCGCCTCAAAAGGGCTTCACCTGCTGCATGTGGTCAGCCGCATTTTGAGGTGCCTCAATTTTTGAGTCATTTTTTTAGGCGCCTCAAAAAGGCTTCAGCTGCTGCATGTGGTCAGCCGCATTTTGAGGTGCCTCAATTTTTGAGTCATTTTTTTAGGCGCCTCAAAAGGGCTTCAGCTGCTGCATGTGGTCAGCCGCATTTTGAGGTGCCTCAAATTTTGAGTAATTTTTTTAGGCGCCTCAAAAGGGCTTCAGCTGCTGCATGTGGTCAGCCGCATTTTGAGGTGCCTCAATTTTTGAGTCATTTTTTTAGGCGCCTCAAAAGGGCTTCAGCTGCTGCATGTGGTCAGCCGCATTTTGAGGTGCCTCAATTTTTGAGTCATTTTTTTAGGCGCCTCAAAAGGGCTTCAGCTGCTGCATGTGGTCAGCCGCATTTTGAGGTGCCTCAATTTTTGAGTCAATTTTTGAGGCGCCTCAAAAGGGCTTCAGCTGCTGCATGTGGTCAGCCGCATTTTGAGGTGCCTCAATTTTTGAGTCATTTTTTTAGGCGCCTCAAAAGGGCTTCAGCTGCTGCATGTGGTCAGCCGCATTTTGAGGTGCCTCAAATTTTGAGTCATTTTTTTAGGCGCCTCAAAAGGGCTTCAGCTGCTGCATGTGGTCAGCCGCATTTTGAGGTGCCTCAAATTTTGAGTAATTTTTTTAGGCGCCTCAAAAGGGCTTCAGCTGCTGCATGTGGTCAGCCGCATTTTGAGGTGCCTCAATTTTTGAGTCATTTTTTTAGGCGCCTCAAAAGGGCTTCAGCTGCTGCATGTGGTCAGCCGCATTTTGAGGTGCCTCAATTTTTGAGTCAATTTTTGAGGCGCCTCAAAAGGGCTTCAGCTGCTGCATGTGGTCAGCCGCATTTTGAGGTGCCTCAATTTTTGAGTCATTTTTTTAGGCGCCTCAAAAGGGCTTCAGCTGCTGCATGTGGTCAGCCGCATTTTGAGGTGCCTCAAATTTGGAGTCATTTTTTTAGGCGCCTCAAAAGGGCTTCAGCTGCTGCATGTGGTCAGCCGCATTTTGAGGTGCCTCAAATTTTGAGTAATTTTTTTAGGCGCCTCAAAAGGGCTTCAGCTGCTGCATGTGGTCAGCCGCATTTTGAGGTGCCTCAATTTTTGAGTCAATTTTTGAGGCGCCTCAAAAGGGCTTCAGCTGCTGCATGTGGTCAGCCGCATTTTGAGGTGCCTCAATTTTTGAGTCATTTTTTTAGGCGCCTCAAAAGGGCTTCAGCTGCTGCATGTGGTCAGCCGCATTTTGAGGTGCCTCAAATTTGGAGTCATTTTTTTAGGCGCCTCAAAAGGGCTTCAGCTGCTGCATGTGGTCAGCCGCATTTTGAGGTGCCTCAAATTTTGAGTAATTTTTTTAGGCGCCTCAAAAGGGCTTCAGCTGCTGCATGTGGTCAGCCGCATTTTGAGGTGCCTCAATTTTTGAGTCATTTTTTTAGGCGCCTCAAAAGGGCTTCAGCTGCTGCATGTGGTCAGCCGCATTTTGAGGTGCCTCAATTTTTGAGTCATTTTTTTAGGCGCCTCAAAAGGGCTTCAGCTGCTGCATGTGGTCAGCCGCATTTTGAGGTGCCTCAAATTTTGAGTCATTTTTTTAGGCGCCTCAAAAGGGCTTCAGCTGCTGCATGTGGTCAGCCGCATTTTGAGGTGCCTCAAATTTTGAGTAATTTTTTTAGGCGCCTCAAAAGGGCTTCAGCTGCTGCATGTGGTCAGCCGCATTTTGAGGTGCCTCAATTTTTGAGTCATTTTTTTAGGCGCCTCAAAAGGGCTTCAGCTGCTGCATGTGGTCAGCCGCATTTTGAGGTGCCTCAATTTTTGAGTCATTTTTTTAGGCGCCTCAAAAGGGCTTCAGCTGCTGCATGTGGTCAGCCGCATTTTGAGGTGCCTCAAATTTTGAGTCATTTTTTTAGGCGCCTCAAAAGGGCTTCAGCTGCTGCATGTGGTCAGCCGCATTTTGAGGTGCCTCAAATTTTGAGTAATTTTTTTAGGCGCCTCAAAAGGGCTTCAGCTGCTGCATGTGGTCAGCCGCATTTTGAGGTGCCTCAAATTTTGAGTCATTTTTTTAGGCGCCTCAAAAGGGCTTCAGCTGCTGCATGTGGTCAGCCGCATCTTCAATAATTCTTCAAAATCATATTCACATCAGGAGCCACGTCTGCAACCATCACATGCTTTAGAGTACAAACATTAACTTGAGGAATGTTTGTACTCTAACGCATGCGATGGGTCCAGACGTACCCCCAAATGTCGTCCCATTCCAGCTTTCCTTGTGCCACTGCCATTCTTGGTTCCGAATCTGGTGGATGGGGCAGACGAGTGGGTTCAGTTGGTGTATGGAGCAGAAGCATCTTCCGACCTGCTGCTTGAACGGCGTCACGGACAAACAAGCCCGTTATTTAGTCGACTTTGTTGACTTTGTTGTATCATCTTCCGCCTTGCAGCATCTTCTCCTCCCCATTCCCATGTTCCTTGTGCCGCTGTCATGCCAATCCTTATTTCAGAATTCGGTGGGTGGTGCAAACGAATTGCTTCAGCTGCTGGATGTGTTTTGCAGTATCTCCCCCCTGCTGGCTGGGCAAAATCAGGGACAAATGCCTAGCTTAACACCTTCTTCTCCCCATTCCCTCCTTCCTTGTTCCACCGTCTGTTGTGCTGATACTTGCTTCAGAATCTGGTGGATGGGGTGTTTTGAGACGTCTCAAAACATTCCCTCCTTCCTTGTTCCACCGTCTGTTGTGCTGATACTTGCTTCAGAATCTGGTGGATGGGGTGTTTTGAGACGTCTCAAAACATTCCCTCCTTCCTTGTTCCACCGTCTGTTGTGCTGATACTTGCTTCAGAATCTGGTGGATGGGGTGTTTTGAGACGTCTCAAAACATTCCCTCCTTCCTTGTTCCACCGTCTGTTGTGCTGATACTTGCTTCAGAATCTAGTGGATGGGGCGGACGAGTGGCTTCAGCTGCTGGATGTTGCCAGCAGCACCATGAGAGCCGTGCACAACATGCCGGTCTCAGCTTCCTTTGCCACTTGATGGGCGATTCTAGGCTGAATGGTGGGTACTTGGCTTGGAGGCTGTCTGATGCCATGCTCCTCCTGGGGACTCGCTGCTTGATGGGGACATAAGGCAGCTGAGGATGCTCGAACGTGGCAATAGGTCTGGCATGATGGATCGTCAGCAGCACCATGAGGGTTGTGCACAACATGCCACTCTCGGTTTCCTTTGCCACTTGATGGGCGATCGATAGCCATGTGGGCTAACATGCTCGTGTTGCTAAACATGTGAATGAGAGAGGCCAGCTTTATGGATCTGTATCAGGCCCTATTTTATCGGTATAATTTGTACTGATTACCTTGATTTCAGGATAGGGCTCGGGTGCTAGGCACACTGACGTTTCAGTTTAAAGGTGTATCACAGACAAGCACTCATGATTCAGGATTGGAATTTTGGGATTTTCAGTGCGGTTTTCAGTCGAGCCGAGGGCCTTTGGGGGTATAGTATCCAGCCAAATACGGTGAGAATTTTCTGTAAAAGAAAAGCCCAGTATATTTGTAGTAACTCAGGACGGGCTTCCCTCCGTGCCCTTGCAACAGCGGTACTTCAACAAGGAGGTTCTGATTCTGGTGTGTCGCTGTCAACATCCTCACAAAGAGCAGAAAGCCAAACATCTAGCATGGCTAGCGTGACAGGCCAAGAGTAATGGGTGCTGTCAGTGCACCTGTCACCTCTAGGAAGGGTTAACGCTTGAAGGTCCACGAAATGCCCAAACTTTGTCTCATCAGACACCCTGAAGACAGGATGGCAGCAACACAGCAGGAAAAAAACGCATTCAGACCTGAACAAAGGAGCATAAACACCTTAGTCTTGTTAGTTGTAAAGTCTCTCTGACGTAAGGTGTCTCACCTGGCTACATGGTCATCGAACGTGAACCCTCTGACGTTGTTGCTCTTATGGAGATATCTCTGCGGCTTATTCTTCTCTTGCGCTGCCCAGATGCCAAAGAAGGTGACCCCGTCCGGATCGCGAACCACTGACTGGAGTGAAGGCAGAAACACCGACTCTGCAGCATTGGTACGGAGGGACAGGTTGGGCATAAGAGCTATTTCTATGGCCGTGCTTGAAGTGTGGTAATTGCAACAAAGCATGAACAAAGATAGAGAGGGCGCAGGAGGGCAAGGTAAAAGAGGGACTCACTGAACGCCTCTGCCATCTCCGATGCATTGCTCTTGCGTGTGATGTCATGCAGGCCAAAGGACGCTGCCACTACGTCGAATGGCGCGAACTGAGTGGCGATGGGGCCGCCTGTGACATTAGGGGCGGAGCGCCAGTCGTGAAAGACAGGGGCATCTGAGTCCAGGTGCGTGGCATAGGTGAGGTTGAAGGTGAACGCACGGCCGCGGCGCCGCACTGGATGCACGAGCACCCTGTGGCAGAGGCAGGGTAGCAGGGGAGGGGAGAGGCACGCTGTGGCAGAGGCAGGGTAGCAGGGGAGGGGAGAGGCACGCTGTGGCAGAGGCAGGGTAGCAGGAGAGGGGAGAGGCACGCTGTGGCAGAGGCAGGGTAGCAGGGGAGGGGAGAGGAACGCTGTGGCAGAGGCAGGGTAGCAGGGGAGGGGAGAGGCACGCTGTGGCAGAGGCAGGGTAGCAGGGGAGGGGAGAGGCACGCTGTGGCAGAGGCAGGGTAGCAGGGGAGGGGAGAGGAACGCTGTGGCAGAGGCAGGGTAGCAGGGGAGGGGAGAGGCACGCTGTGGCAGAGGCAGGGTAGCAGGGGAGGGGAGAGGCACGCTGTGGCAGAGGCAGGGTAGCAGGGGAGGGGAGAGGCACGCTGTGGCAGAGGCAGGGTAGCAGGGGAGGGGAGAGGCACGCTGTGGCAGAGGCAGGGTAGCAGGGGAGGGGAGAGGCACGCTGTGGCAGAGGCAGGGTAGCAGGGGAGGGGAGAGGAACGCTGTGGCAGAGGCAGGGTAGCAGGGGAGGGGAGAGGCACGCTGTGGCAGAGGCAGGGTAGCAGGGGAGGGGAGAGGAACGCTGTGGCAGAGGCAGGGTAGCAGGGGAGGGGAGAGGCACGCTGTGGCAGAGGCAGGGTAGCAGGGGAGGGGAGAGGCACGCTGTGGCAGAGGCAGGGTAGCAGGGGAGGGGAGAGGCACGCTGTGGCAGAGGCAGGGTAGCAGGGGAGGGGAGAGGAACGCTGTGGCAGAGGCAGGGTAGCAGGGGAGGGGAGAGGCACGCTGTGGCAGAGGCAGGGTAGCAGGGGAGGGGAGAGGCACGCTGTGGCAGAGGCAGGGTAGCAGGGGAGGGGAGAGGCACGCTGTGGCAGAGGCAGGGTAGCAGGGGAGGGGAGAGGCACGCTGTGGCAGAGGCAGGGTAGCAGGGGAGGGGAGAGGCACGCTGTGGCAGAGGCAGGGTAGCAGGGGAGGGGAGAGGCACGCTGTGGCAGAGGCAGGGTAGCAGGGGAGGGGAGAGGCACGCTGTGGCAGAGGCAGGGTAGCAGGGGAGGGGAGAGGCACGCTGTGGCAGAGGCAGGGTAGCAGGGGAGGGGAGAGGCACGCTGTGGCAGAGGCAGGGTGGCAGGGGAGGGGAGAGGCACGCTGTGGCAGAGGCAGGGTAGCAGGGGAGGGGAGAGGCACGCTGTGGCAGAGGCAGGGTAGCAGGGGAGGGGAGAGGCACGCTGTGGCAGAGGCAGGGTAGCAGGGGAGGGGAGAGGCACGCTGTGGCAGAGGCAGGGTAGCAGGGGAGGGGAGAGGCACGCTGTGGCAGAGGCAGGGTAGCAGGGGAGGGGAGAGGCACGCTGTGGCAGAGGCAGGGTAGCAGGGGAGGGGAGAGGAACGCTGTGGCAGAGGCAGGGTAGCAGGGGAGGGGAGAGGCACGCTGTGGCAGAGGCAGGGTAGCAGGGGAGGGGAGAGGCACGCTGTGGCAGAGGCAGGGTAGCAGGGGAGGGGAGAGGCACGCTGTGGCAGAGGCAGGGTAGCAGGGGAGGGGAGAGGCACGCTGTGGCAGAGGCAGGGTAGCAGGGGAGGGGAGAGGCACGCTGTGGCAGAGGCAGGGTAGCAGGGGAGGGGAGAGGCACGCTGTGGCAGAGGCAGGGTAGCAGGGGAGGGGAGAGGCACGCTGTGGCAGAGGCAGGGTAGCAGGGGAGGGGAGAGGCACGCTGTGGCAGAGGCAGGGTAGCAGGGGAGGGGAGAGGAACGCTGTGGCAGAGGCAGGGTAGCAGGGGAGGGGAGAGGCACGCTGTGGCAGAGGCAGGGTAGCAGGGGAGGGGAGAGGCACGCTGTGGCAGAGGCAGGGTAGCAGGGGAGGGGAGAGGCACGCTGTGGCAGAGGCAGGGTAGCAGGGGAGGGGAGAGGCACGCTGTGGCAGAGGCAGGGTAGCAGGGGAGGGGAGAGGCACGCTGTGGCAGAGGCAGGGTAGCAGGGGAGGGGAGAGGCACGCTGTGGCAGAGGCAGGGTAGCAGGGGAGGGGAGAGGCACGCTGTGGCAGAGGCAGGGTGGCAGGGGAGGGGAGAGGCACGCTGTGGCAGAGGCAGGGTAGCAGGGGAGGGGAGAGGCACGCTGTGGCAGAGGCAGGGTAGCAGGGGAGGGGAGAGGCACGCTGTGGCAGAGGCAGGGTAGCAGGGGAGGGGAGAGGCACGCTGTGGCAGAGGCAGGGTAGCAGGGGAGGGGAGAGGCACGCTGTGGCAGAGGCAGGGTAGCAGGGGAGGGGAGAGGCACGCTGTGGCAGAGGCAGGGTAGCAGGGGAGGGGAGAGGAACGCTGTGGCAGAGGCAGGGTAGCAGGGGAGGGGAGAGGCACGCTGTGGCAGAGGCAGGGTAGCAGGGGAGGGGAGAGGCACGCTGTGGCAGAGGCAGGGTAGCAGGGGAGGGGAGAGGCACGCTGTGGCAGAGGCAGGGTAGCAGGGGAGGGGAGAGGCACGCTGTGGCAGAGGCAGGGTAGCAGGGGAGGGGAGAGGCACGCTGTGGCAGAGGCAGGGTAGCAGGGGAGGGGAGAGGCACGCTGTGGCAGAGGCAGGGTAGCAGGGGAGGGGAGAGGCACGCTGTGGCAGAGGCAGGGTAGCAGGGGAGGGGAGAGGCACGCTGTGGCAGAGGCAGGGTAGCAGGGGAGGGGAGAGGCACGCTGTGGCAGAGGCAGGGTAGCAGGGGAGGGGAGAGGCACGCTGTGGCAGAGGCGAGCAGCAGTATGTGAGAGGCAAGCAACACAGTGTAATAGCAGCAATCTGTGAGAGGCTAGCACTCCTATGAGATGCAGAGTGAGGCAGAATTGAAAACAGAGAGCTCGTTTTCAATCAAGGGATGGAGACCACCGGCAGGGGCGAGCCAAGGTAAATACAAGCTACGAGCATCATGGAGGGGAGGGGAGGGGAGTATTAGTCCCGACCGACCGACGTCCCAATGGCAGGGAGGGGACGGCGAGGAGCATGTGCGCAGCATCTCCCCAGGTGTACTCACTGCTGCATGTGCACTCACTGCTGCATGTGCACTCACTGCTGCATGTGCACTCACTGCTGCATGTGCACTCACTGCTGCATGTGCACTCACTGCTGCATGTGCACTCACTGCTGCATGTGCACTCACTGCTGCATGTGCACTCACTGCTGCATGTGCACTCACTGCTGCATGTGCACTCACTGCTGCATGTGCACTCACTGCTGCACGTGCACTCACTGCTGCACGTGCACTCACTGCTGCATGTGCACTCACTGCTGCATGTGCACTCACTGCTGCATGTGCACTCACTGCTGCATGTGCACTCACTGCTGCATGTGCACTCACTGCTGCATGTGCACTCACTGCTGCACGTGCACTCACTGCTGCATGTGCACTCACTGCTGCATGTGGACTCACTGCTGCATGTGCACTCACTGCTGCACGTGCACTCACTGCTGCATGTGCACTCACTGCTGCATGTGCACTCACTGCTGCACGTGCACTCACTGCTGCATGTGCACTCACTGCTGCAGGGCGAAGCACTCACTGCTGCAGGGCGAAGCCGCTCCAGAAGTGACCCCAGTAGGTGGTGCGGCCACAGAAGGTGCTGTAGTTGAGAGCCAAGGCCATGCCCGTGCTGGGGTCCACTGGCGGCCCCTCCTTCACCACCACGTTCCTCACCCGCACTCGGTGCACCTCCTGCCACTCGTCCCGCCACCAGGCAGGCCAACAGGGTGAGTCAAGAGCACCCTTAACGTGAAGGGATTGGATTCATGGAAAGCTGAGAGCGGGAGATGCGTGGGGTGGGATGAGATCTGAGCACCGTTAGCGGATATGAGCACATCAAACGGTTTCCCTCACCCTGCGCTGCCCGCACCACCTCACCCTGGGCTGGCGGCGGTAGCGCTTGAGGTAGCGGCAGCGCGTGCGGTAGTGCAGGAACAGCTGCAGGTGGCCAAACAGGTACCGCATCTCCGAGTCCCCTGCCATGCACACACACGTGCAGCAAGGTGACTTTTGAGACGCCTTAAAATCATCTCCATCCGAGTCCCCTGCACACGTGCAGCAGTGGGCAGGCGGCGGTGGTGGCACACAGCGCGGTGCCGCGGCAGACTTGAGGGGCACTGGCACGTCACGAGTGCATCCACACCCACACCCACACCCACACCCACACCCACACCCACACCCACACCCACACCCACACCCACGCCCACACCCACACCCACGCCCACACCCACACCCACACCCACACCCACACCCACACCCACACCCACACCCACACCCACACCCACAGCCACAGCCACAGCCACAGCCACACTCGCCACTACACAGCCCAGACGTGACTCATGCACGCACGCACGTGCATGCATGGTACAGGCATTGTGCATGCACGGATGCATGGGTGCAGGACACGAGTAAATGCCTATGGCTTTCCCGAAGCCAGCTGCCTGCATGGTACAGGCTCTGTGCATAACACGACATGCCATGGAGCAGGACACAGCAGCAGGTGGGGTGTGGGTGGGCAGGAGGCGAGACCTAGAATGAGGACACAGCAGGTGGGGGTGGGCAGGAGGCGAGACCTAGAATGAGGGCAGGATGTGAGACCTAGAATGAGGGCAGGATGTGAGACCTAGAATGAGGGCAGGATGTGAGACCTAGAATGAGGGCAGGATGTGAGACCTAGAATGAGGGCAGGAGGCGAGTCCTAGAATGAGGGCAGGATGTGAGACCTAGAATGAGGACGCTCTTGCCGTGCAGGCAGCGCCCAATGCGTGCAGGCGTGATGGGGGCAGGCAGACGGCAGCCCGTGGGGTGCCACGTGTCTCCACGCCAGAAGCCCGCATGCCGTGACTCACGCAACAGACTGAATGTGCACCGCGGCAGGCTCTGCTCGCTGCCACGCCGCACACAGCAGGGAGGGGCGGGCACGGGCCCGTGTGGGTTGGGAAATGAGTACCCACCGAGTGCGCATGTGCGGATGACGAAAGAGGGCACACTCAGAGGCGAGAGGGACTAAGGGAAGTGGGGTGGGTGAAGTGAGAAAGGTTGAAGGGCGGGAATGCGGGGACACGAAGAGGGCATCCGGCACAAGCAGCGCAAGGCATGGAGGGCAGTGCAGCGCATGGCATCCGCACCTCATTTGAGTCGAATCCGTGCCATTCTCCAAGGCATGGAGGGCGGTGGCGGCAGCAACGGAGATGTTGCGTTGAGCCACGACCTTGGACCTGCGAGCGAGGTGCAGCAGTGGTCAGCACAGTTGCAAGGGGGCGGGCACTCGCAGCACAGGTGGTTCAAGGCACAGCACAGGTGGTTCAAGGCACAGCACAGGTGGTTCAAGGCACAGCACAGGTGGTTCAAGGCACAGCACAGGTGGTTCAAGGCACAGCACAGGTGGTTCATTCAAGGCGCAGCACAGGTGGTTCAAGGCACAGCACAGGTGGTTCAAGGCACAGCACAGGTGGTTCAAGGCACAGCACAGGTGGTTCAAGGCACAGCACAGGTGGTTCAAGGCACAGCACAGGTGGTTCAAGGCGCAGCACAGGTGGTTCAAGGCGCAACACAGGTGGTTCAAGGCGCAACACAGGTGGTTCAAGGCGCAACACAGGTGGTTCAAGGCGCAACACAGGTGGTTCAAGGCGCAACACAGGTGGTTCAAGGCGCAACACAGGTGGTTCAAGGCGCAACACAGGTGGTTCAAGGCGCAACACAGGTGGTTCAAGGCGCAACACAGGTGGTTCAAGGCGCAACACAGGTGGTTCAAGGAGCAACACAGGTGGTTCAAGGCGCAGCACAGGTGGTTCAAGGCGCAGAACAGGTGGTTCATTCAAGACACAGCACAGGTGGTTCATTCAAGGCACAGCAGGGCATGGGGAGGAGAGGGCGGGCGCTCGGCAGGAAGTGGCACGGCAGGCAATGGCACGGCAGGCAGTGGCACGGCAGGCAGCGGCACGGCAGGCAGTGGCACGGCAGGCAGTGGCACGGCAGGCAGTGGCACGGCAGGCAGTGGCACGGCAGGCAATGGCACGGCTGGCACGGCAGGCAGTGGCACGGCAGGCAGTGGCACGGCAGGCAGTGGCACGGCAGGCAGTGGCACGGCAGGCAGTGGCACGGCAGGCAGTGGCACGGCAGGCAGTGGCTCGGCAGGCAGTGGCACGGCAGGCAGTGGCACGGCAGGCAGTGGCACGGCAGGCAGCGGCACGGCAGGCAGTGGCACGGCAGGCAGTGGCACGGCAGGCAGTGGCACGGCAGGCAGTGGCATGGCAGGCAGTGGCACGGCAGGCAGTGGCACGGCAGGCAATGGCACGGCAGGCAGTGGCACGGCAGGCAGTGGCACGGCAGGCAGTGGCACGGCAGGCAGTGGCACGGCAGGCAGTGGCACGGCAGGCAGTGGCACGGCAGGCAGTGGCACGGCAGGCAGTGGCACGGCAGGCAGTGGCACGGCAGGCAGTGGCACGGCAGGCAGCGGCACGGCAGGCAGTGGCACGGCAGGCAATGGCACGGCAGGCAGTGGCACGGCAGGCAGTGGCACGGCAGGCAGTGGCACGGCAGGCAGTGGCACGGCAGGCAGTGGCACGGCAGGCAGTGGCACGGCAGGCAGTGGCACGGCAGGCAGTGGCACGGCAGGCAGTGGCACGGCAGGCAGTGGCACGGCAGGCAGTGGCACGGCAGGCAGTGGCACGGCAGGCAGCGGCACGGCAGGCAGTGGCACGGCAGGCAGTGGCACGGCAGGCAATGGCACGGCAGGCAGTGGCACGGCAGGCAGTGGCACGGCAGGCAGTGGCACGGCAGGCAGTGGCACGGCAGGCAGTGGCACGGCAGGCAGTGGCACGGCAGGCAGTGGCACGGCAGGCAGTGGCACGGCAGGCAGTGGCACGGCAGGCAGTGGCACGGCAGGCAGTGGCACGGCAGGCAGTGGCACGGCAGGCAGTGGCACGGCAGGCAGTGGCACGGCAGGCAGCGGGGCACCTGAAGAAGCCGGAGGCGAGTTTGGGGTTGACGGCCTGGCGCAGCAGGAAGGCGTTGGTCCACGGCAGCGCCACCACCACCTCGTACACCCCACCGCGCTGCACCGTGTAGCACACCTGCTCGTGGCGTGGCCCCACACGCGGGCGCACATAGATTGATGGGTGTATGTGGTGGGTGATCAAGAGGCAGTGGCAGGGCGCAGCAGCAAAGGGGTGAGGGTGTGCCGCGGCACTGCACACACCATACATTGCTGGCATGGCACTGCACACACCATACATTGCTGGCATGGCACTGCACACACCATACATTGCTGGCATGGCACTGCACACACCATATATTGCTGGCATGGCACTGCACACACCACACATTGCTGGCATGGCAGTGCACACACCATACATTGCTGGCATGGCACTGCACACACCATACATTGCTGGCATGGCAGTGCACACACCATACATTGCTGGCATGGCACTGCACACACCATACATTGCTGGCATGGCACTGCACACACCGTACATTGCTGGCATGGCACTGCACACACCATACATTGCTGGCATGGCAATGCACGCATGGCACTGCACACACCATACATTGCTGGCATGGCATTGCGCGCATGGCACTGCACACACCATACACGCGCTTTGCAGTGGCATGATTCGTGGTGGGACACGCAGCTTGCAGCAGGAGCGTGTGGGCGGGACTGGCAAGGGAGTGGGTGCACCGTGCACGGACGAGAGCAAGAATGCGGAAACCTAGAGGCGCCAAGAGCAGGTGGGGCACGGCAGCAGGGGTGGGGGGGGGGGGGAACGCCCACCTGGTGGGGGGGGGAGTGCCCACCTGGTGCGAGGTGGACTCGGGCCGGTACTGCACTCGCGGCGCCTGCACTTCTTCAGCCACTGCCTCGTCCGACGCGGAGTCCCCGTCGCTGCTGGCAACGCGGCGCATGCGAACCACTAAGAAGGCGCGCTGCCTGCCCACCCCGTACACACACGCCCCGCACACGCACGCCCCGCACACGCACGCACGCCCCGCACACGCACGCACGCCCCGCACACGCACTCCCCGCGCACGCAAGGCAAGACATGACCAAGACAGACCATCTGTGACCCGCCCCACAGCGGCCAGGCCACTAGCGGCAAGGCCTTGCGCGCATAGGCCAGAGCATGAATAGAGAAGGAAAGTTGGATGATAGAAGAGGTGATTCGTACCTGCAACCACGGTCGAATGGCCCGCCTTGGACATCAAAAGCTGCACGGGAGGGATGCACAAGCCGGTGGGCAACACAACATGGCAGCACGTGCGGCAGTGCAGCAAGTCAGAACAGATCACGAGTGGCAGGCATCGCCGGCAGGGAACACCTAGAGTGTGACGCACAGCACAGCGCGGCTGAGAGAGCGCAGGCAGCGGAAGGTGGTATTGGACGCACAGGATGGAACACAGTGGTATTGGACGCACAGGATGGAACACAGTGGTATTGGACGCACAGGATGGAACACAGTGGTATTGGACGCACAGGATGGAACACAGTGGTATTGGACGCACAGGATGGAACACAGTGGTATTGGACGCACAGGATGGAACACAGTGGTATTGGACGCACAGGATGGAACACAGTGGTATTGGACGCACAGGATGGAACACAGTGGTATTGGACGCACAGGATGGAACACAGTGGTATTGGACGCACAGGATGTAACACAGTGGTATTGGACGCACAGGATGGAACACAGTGGTATTGGACGCACAGGATGGAACACGGTAGTATTGGACGCACAGGATGGAACACAGTGGTATTGGACGCACAGGATGGAACACAGTGGTATTGGACGCACAGGATGGAACACAGTGGTATTGGACGCACAGGATGGAACACAGTGGTATTGGACGCACAGGATGGAACACAGTGGTATTGGACGCACAGGATGGAACACGGTAGTATTGGACGCACAGGATGGAACACAGTGGTATTGGACGCACAGGATGGAACACAGTGGTATTGGACGCACAGGATGGAACACAGTGGTATTGGACGCACAGGATGGAACACAGTGGTATTGGACGCACAGGATGGAACACAGTGGTATTGGACGCACAGGATGGAACACAGTGGTATTGGACGCACAGGATGGAACACAGTGGTATTGGACGCACAGGATGGAACACAGTGGTATTGGACGCACAGGATGGAACACAGTGGTATTGGACGCACAGGATGGAATACAGTGGTATTGGACGCACAGGATGGAACACGGTAGTATTGGACGCACAGGATGGAACACAGTGGTATTGGACGCACAGGATGGAACACAGTGGTATTGGACGCACAGGATGGAACACAGTGGTATTGGACGCACAGGATGGAACACAGTGGTATTGGACGCACAGGATGGAACACAGTGGTATTGGACGCACAGGATGGAACACAGTGGTATTGGACGCACAGGATGGAACACAGTGGTATTGGACGCACAGGATGGAACACAGTGGTATTGGACGCACAGGATGGAACACAGTGGTATTGGACGCACAGGATGGAACACAGTGGTATTGGGCGCACAGGATGGAACACAGTGGTATTGGACGCACAGGATGGAATACAGTGGTATTGGACGCACAGGATGGAATACAGTGGTATTGGACGCACAGGATGGAATACAGTGGTATTGGACGCACAGGATGGAATACAGTGGTATTGGACGCACAGGATGGAATACAGTGGTATTGGACGCACAGGATGGAATACAGTGGTATTGGACGCACAGGATCGAATACAGTGGTATTGGACGCACAAGATGGAATACAGTGGTATTGGACGCACAAGATGGAATACAGTGGTATTGGACGCACAAGATAGAATACAGTGGTATTGGACGCACAGGATGGAACACAATGGTATTGGGCGCACAGGATGGAACACAGTGGTATTGGACGCACAGGATGGAACACAGTGGTATTGGACGCACAGGATGAAACACAGTGGATGTTGTAGCCGCACCTTGGCTTTTGAGTCGACTCAAAAGTTATCTCCGATGCTGTGGCCGCACCTTGGATTCAGAAGCACGTGTGCGATGCATGAGACGTGATAAAAGAGAAATTTTGAGGGTTTAAGGTTTAATGTTCCTGAGAAACTCTCTTTTATCACGAGGAACACACTGGATGCTGTAGCCGCACCTTGGATTTGGCCGCACCTTGGATTTGGCCGCACCTTGGATTTGGCCGCACCTTGGATTTGGCCGCACCTTGGATTCGGAAGCACGCGTGCTGGAATGGCGTGGCGGGGCCATCCCACCCGTCGCCGCTGATGTTGACGTGCGAGAACTCGGCGAGATCCGATCCTTCTTCTGCGGAGGCATGCGTGTCAGCGTAAGCGCCGTCTTGACTGCAGATATTGTTGGGGTCGAAGGAGGAAAGCGACGCGGACGCGGACGGGGAAGAAGACGCGGTGCTGCTGCTAGGTGCTGAAGCCGCAGCGTCGTGAGCAATGCTGCCTAGCAGACCCCGTGGCGCGCTGGGTAATTTGAAATCGGCCCGTGAACTAGAAGCAACAGTGGAGGTAGCAGAAGCGACGGTGGAGGTAGCAGAAGCGACGGAGGAGTTGGAGAAGACCCATATTCGGCAGACGAGGAGGACGCACACGAGGAGACAGAGACATGAGAGCGCAATTCGACGACGGAGAGCCATGATGGCATCGGAGTCGGCCGGCTGTGGTTGTGGTCAGCAGGGCGCGCTGCAGGTGGGATACGCTGCTAGCAGGCGAGGTGCGTATGAGTAGGGGCTGCTGCCGGCTGATTCGTGCTGGCAGCTAGCTGTACCGGCGGCTGCTAGCGCTGCTGTGAGCGGCGCGCGGCGGGAGCAGTGCTGCACGTGGTGGGCGGGCGGTGGTAGCCGGCGCGCGCTGGCGACTGGCGTGCGTGCGGCTCCTGCCGTAAACTGCAGTGCGTGCGCTGCGCGTACGGCTACTGGCTGCGCGTGGCGCGCGCGCTACTGCGTGCGCGCGGAGGCTTCGCGCGCGCGGCTACTGCTGGCGCGTCGCGCGCGGGCGGCATGCGGGCTGTGCGTTGGGTGCGCGCGGATGCAGACTACGCGCGCGTGGGTGCAGGCTGGCGCTCGCGCTATGCAGTGGCGGGGCGCGCTGTCTGTGGGGAATTGGGTGGCTGGCGAGGGAGCTGGCTGGCTGACGAGGTAATCGACTGGCTGGCTGGCTAGGAGGTAAAAGGAGACAGTCTAAAGCCTAGGAACGTGCCTACTTGATGATACCATCTCAGAGTAGGTAGCGGAATGAATCGAGTAGGAGATAGAAATTATGTACCCTATACTAAATACCTCACTGCAGTCCAACATATCTAACAAATATATGAACATAACTTGACAGTGAGCACGAGGACAAGTTAGTGTTTTCGGGTTTAGGGTGCACGAGAAAAACGTACGCCCTATTTCGTTTTCGCTTTTGTACAAAATATAGCCGATTATAACCGTATACTCGTACGCACGGATGAGCAGCGCTGACGCTATCAAACTATATAGTTTGATTAGTCTGACGAATCAGACCTCCAACTTGCTGGAAATTTACATTTCAGAGTAGTACAAATTTTATACCTGAATGCATCAGACTTGACGTTTAGGGGCCCCTGATTTTGTGTATTAGTGTATCAGACTTGTGTGTTAGTGGAGCCTGGCTTAACAGATGTTGAGATATAAAACTTTATGAGAAGACATTCCTGTACGCAGCAGGGGCCGACTCTACCGAGTAAAAGTCGAGGAGTCAGAAGAGTCGAATGTTAGAAGGATGTGAGAACAAGAAGTGTCGATTAGGTTGGGGAGGGGGGTACAAGTAAGAATGACGATGTGAATTGTGTACCCCCTAGGGTTAGTCCCTATATAGCCTAGATAACATAGACCACATATGTTTTGACACACCCCCATAGGCGAAATGGGGGATAGCCAGAGCAAACAATTGTCACAAGACCAGTCAAGAGAAGCAAACAAAGCAAAGCTCAAGGTGGATCTCAGGATCACCACGCATTCTGAGCACAAGCTGTTAGAATCTAAGAAAGAATGAGAATGATGAACTAGAAAGGGTATGGGAGTACAAGTACCAAACCCTAGAGTAGTGTACCCCCTAGAAGGCTAACCCACTATAGCCTACACAACTATGACATATATAATGTTTGACACACCCCCATAGGCTAAGTGGGGGAGAGCAAGGGGTCACAAGACCAGTCAAAGTAAAGCAAAGCAAAACAAGCAAATTTCGCCTTGCTCTACTTTGACTGGTGGATCTCAAGGATACCACACAAATTCCGAGCACAAGCAAGCGGTCACATGACCAGTTCACATGCAGTTTGATAATATAACAAGAGGTACAGTGATCACAACCTAGCAAGTGTAAGCATGCAGGTATATATATAGAGATCACAGTACAAGCAGAGTCAAGAAGTGAGCAAGTGAGGGACTGTAGGCATAAGGCCTAGAACAGTACAGAAACGCTGATGATCACAAGGCTGAAGCGCCTTGGTGAACACATCAGCAGTGTTGGCCCGAGTGGCCACGTACGCAAGACGAAGCTGACCACGCTGCTGCAGCTCTCGAGCAAGGAAGTAGCGCAGAGCGATGTGCTTCGTTCTGTGCTCCAGTCTGTGCTCCTGACACAAGGCAAGGGCGGCCTTGTTGTCGACGTACAGCACTGGAGGAGAACGAGGCCGCTCTCCGAGGTTGGTCAGCAGGTAGGTGAGCCAGCGTAACTCCTGTGCAGCCATGGCTGTGGCGTAGATCTCAGCCTCACAACTGGAGCTGAGAACTGAAGACGAGCGTGTAGAACGCCAAGAAACTGAACCAGAGCCAAGGCTGAAGGTGTAACCCTGAGACGACCGCTGCGTAGCCTGGTCGTCAGCCCAAGAAGCGTCTGAGTGCCCAGTGAGGACAACGTCTCTCCGTCCTCCAAGCACAAGCCCCATGCCCGACGTACTGCACAAGTAGCGCAACACCCTCTTAGCGGCATCCATGTGCTCCTTCCGGTGACGGCCAGGAGCGACATAGCATGCTAGGATGCTAAGAGGGTATGTAAGGTCAGGTCGAGTGCAGGTCATCAGGTACATGAGGCAGCCCACAAGCTCTGGATACGGGCCACTCGGCTCCACGGACTCATCCGAAGGCAGAGCCGAGAGCGAGTGACCGGTAGGCAGAGGAGTGGGCTGAGGCGAGGAGTACGTGAAGCGGAAGCGCTGAAGGACCTGCTGCACCATGTGTGA